ATATGAATCATCATTAGGATCTTTGAACTGTTGGGAATAGTGTCCTAGAAGCATGAGATGTAATATGATATTTATTATTTAATTAATAAAAGAGTTTATTCATCATTTTATGTGCATATATTTATGAATATTTTATGAATATCAAATGAAAATTTCGTGATTGTTTATGTAACCTTAAACATAGTATATAAGTGTTATATAATAGTGGATAATGTTTAAGGATAATAATAAAAAACGTTGTTCATGATGAATTTAATTAGAGTTTGGAATCTTTAATTAAAACATTATTAATACATGTCATTCCCATTTAGAATGGAACGGTGTTATCCGCACTGTTAATATGGCGAGATATTGAATGAGTGTATTTCGCATAATAAGATTATGTAGAACAAGGACAAAGACACAATATGAATTTCTAATAATTTCCGTTAAGCATAGAAATTCTGATTGAGTCTACCGATGGTCATATATAGGATGATCTTAATCCTGAGTTCTTAACAAACTCCTATTTATGGATTTATGTCTTTTGATTTACTCGGTACGGATTCCGAGACCCTGAATCCTATTCCTTGTATTTTGGAGACATAATGAAATAGGTAGCTGGGAATGTTATTGTACGAGATGGAATCCATTCCTTCTTGAGAAAGAAGTAGATAAATAATTCTCTTAAGTGTTGATTCGGTACTTGGATTAGTAAGAGTGTTCTGATTCATGAATGTGTTTTATGAATCACTATCCATTAGAGAATCAGTGGCACTCAATGATGCAGATATAATTAGAGAGGTTAACGGATTATACCTGACTCTAATTATGAATTATTTATGGAGGATTTATCTATATGTAATGACTATATTAAATGGATACTTCGCAGTTTAGAAGTAATTAATGTCTATAATTTTGAGAGTTCAATTCCAAGTTTATAGTGGAGTAACTATTGGAATTAATAGAATTAATTAATTAATTAAAGTGTTTAATTAATTATTAATTTTATTGGAGCTCGGGATTATAGGTCCATATGTCCCCGCGTCGTCCTTGTAATTCTACCAGACACAAAGGGCAAAATAGAAATTTTAGAATTATGGAATTCTAAAATTAAATACTCGAAAAATAATTAATTGAGAATTAATTATTATTTAAATAATGTGATTATTTAAATTTGAATTTGAACATATCTAGATTTATCCATTTAAACTTATTTGATAAGTTGTTCAATTTTAGAATTCAAATTAATTTAAGTTTGACTTAAATTTGAATTTGAATCTGAATCAAAATTGGACTACAGGATAAATGATGATTTTTCTCTTTCTTCCCTATCAGAATTGGCGCCACACATAGGGTTAGGAAACCCTAATCATGGTCGGCCACTAAAGGATAAAGGGGAAGGGATTTTTTGTTCAAAATTTAAAATTGGAGATAATGATTTGATTCTGTTTTGAAGTCTGACTTCTACTCTTTAAATATGAGAATGATAGAAAATTGTGGACACAATTTTTTGAAACATATTTTTCAGCCCTAAGAGTTAGGTGGCCGAATTTCTCAAAGGAAAAAGAGAGAGAAAATATTTTTCTCTAAAAATTTCACATCGTGCATGCGTTGGTGTTTGTGGAAATTCGAGTGTTTAAGAAACCTGTTTTGTCTCACGTGTGCCCACACACACGTCTACGTAGAATCAAGGAATTGACGTGGAAGACTTTGGTATTCTAAACACAAAGATTGGAGCAAGGACTGTTCGTGATTAAAAAATTCAAGTTATCATCCGAGTTAGCATCCAGGTATTTTTCCGGATTGAATTCTTGATGTAAATTAATGCGATTAATTTATTCGTGCATAAATTAATATAATCTATAGAGTATCTCAAAAGTTTTATGAAAATTTTTGTTATACACGATCCCTCTTTCCCACGCTTCCGCACCCGAATTCGATTCAGGAACCAACATGAATTTGATCTGTCAATAATCTGTGTGTTCGTGTGAGAGAGAAACATAACCTTGATGCATTTTGGGATTTTTTTTTTATTTTGGATTGTTGCTGATTTTTGTTCTTGTAGATTTGTCCCCAGTCGGAGTTAATAGCAGGGAGTGATGCGGTAGAAGATCTCTTTGAAGTTTGATGTTCTTGTTTTTTAAATTTTTAGAAGGTTTTTTTTTTCTTTTTATTTTTTCCACCGTTTTTCTTATTTTAAATTTTTTTTTTTGTTTTTAAGGGTTTTTATGTCATTTTATAATGGTCAAAATGATAGAAATTATAGGTTCTCAATACATATAAATGAGATCAAAATAACAATCAAGTCATTTAATATGAAAATCACACTATCTCATTGGAGTTTGAAGCTACTTTGTTTGGTTGGTGGATTCGTACCATAATTCGAATCATAGTTCGTGATTTGCTATTATTTTTTCTCATAAAAATACACGTAAATTGAAAATGATTCTGAATCATGATTTTAAATTTATGAATCAAACGTTTATCTCCTCCATTTGACAACGGAACAACGTCGCTCATGGTCACTGGAAATCACTAACAGCCGGTCAGAATCCGATCAGCAACCTGAGAACATCAAAAGGAGCTTGAAGTATTTTTGAAGTGTTCGAACCACACACAAAAAAGAAGAACAAAAATCTCTCTTATGTTTGTCTGCAACAATAAGTATATGGGCCTTGTTGGGCTCTAACCAAAATTTTAATGAAGAGAAAATTTGGTCCAATGAGCTGATATATGTTCAGAGAGAATCTAAGGGTCTCAATACATTAGAAATTAAGGAGTTGTTCTTTTTTAAAAAAGTAATTTGAGTGTAGTTTTTGAATTAAATTTGAGTTATAATTTGAGTTGAAGTTGTAACTTGAATAAAGTTGAAACTTAAAAGAACGTGAACTTGAATAAAATTGAAACTCGAATTGTATTTTTTTGAATTGTTTGGACAAAAGAACATGTCCTAAATTGTCTAATTTAACAAATAAGATGATAAATTAATGCCATTCAAATATCAAAACAAACAAGCATAGACAAGCCCAAGAAAATAATATTTGATAATTGTGAGAATTAACCACTAAAATGTATGTTCAAACAATACAAAACGTCCACAAATATAATTTCAATGTGGCTGAAATGTCAAACAAATAATATGAACATTGAGTAAACAAAATTTGAAGCAAAACAATGAGAACAGGGCACAAAACGGGCCTTTTTTTTTTTTTTTTTTTTTTGTTTTGCAAATCTGGTCTCCATAAACGACATGTTGCTTTCGGGCATACGGGCATATAGGAAAAACAACATGTTATTTTCCTAAAACGACATCTACATTTGAACTTGCAAACGACATGTTGGGCGTATTTAGAACTCGTTTTAAAATAATTTTATTTTTTGTATAAAATGAAAATAAAAACGTTTTCAATCTCAGACAGAAATCATTTTTTAAAATGCGTTTGGTAGTTTTATCAAAAGATTGTTTTCAGTGTAAAAAACTCATTAATGTATTTCTTTCTCTCTCATTGCTCGAGAGATGAGAAAACGAAAAAAAAAAACGACTAAAAGTCGTTTTTCATTTCTCTCTCATTTTACACTAACCCAAAAAATTGTTTTTATTTTTATTTTTTGTCTTTATTGCTCCAAACGCCGTTTTAAAAACGTTTTCATTTTTTCTTTCTAAAAAAACGTTAAAAAAACGGAATCAATTCTAAACACTGAGGTTGTTTTCCATGAGGATACAAAATGACACGTCATCTTTAAAATGAACCCGAATCGAGTTCGTGACCCGACTTGTTCGAAAATCGAGCTCCGGTTGTCCATTTTTGACATTTTTTGTTGGGTTTTGCTCCAAATTTCATCATCTTTAGTTTTCAAACATCAATTTCACTCAAAGATTAAAAAGAAATAAAGCTTTCAGAAGACCCATGAACGGACATTATAACTTTATGGAAGTCCTTAAATACATCAAACCAGCGCATGAAACTCAAAAGAAACAACACCAATTAAATATTTTTGGAGAATATAAACTCAAAACCATGTTTCTTTTGAGCTAACTGCAGATTTGAAAATCTGGGTTTTGCACCCATTGCGAACAACAAACACGAAAAATACAACTTCAAATCCAATAAGATAAGTTCTGATACCATTTGTTAGAAATTGTAGATTATCAATATATAAATGAGATTAAAACAATAATCAAGTAATTTAATATGAAAATCACACTATCTCATTGGAGTTTGAAGCATGTACAAAAGTAATGGTTATAGGATCTCCTCCATTTGGCAGTGGAACAACATCGCTCATTGTCGCCAGAAATTGCTAACAGCGCTGGAATCCTATCAGCAACTTGAGAACACCAAAAGGAGCTTGAAATGTTTTTGAACTCTCCTCTTGCTCTCTCTTATGTTTGTCTGCAACAATAAGTATATGGGCCTTGTTGAGCTTTAACCAAAATTTTAATGGAGAGAAAATTTAGCCTAATAGGTTGATTAAATATTTAGAGAGAGAGAGAGAGGGAGTTCAATGCCGCCTTAAACACATTAAAAATAAATTGTTCATTTAATTATGGCATTTGATATAATACCATACATAAAATATATTTCAATATAATTGTCAATAAAATCATACTCTAATTTTGTGACATATTTGAGTGAATTAATTATAATTTGTGCCGGTCCATGTAAATAGACATTTACCCATTAAATATAATATGAAGAATTGAAGATATATATTTAATGAGATCAAATATAAGAAATATACTTTTTAAATAAGTTTAAAGGTATAGAAATGGTGGATGTTTAGTTTATAAATTTAAAATTATTTTTAATTTACATGTACTTTTTATAAAAAAAAATACTATAATAAATTACGAACGATAATTTAAATTATGAGATAAATATACCGATTAAACACACCAATAACCTACAAATATGTCAGGGTCGCACATAACGACACACGAGTAAAATAAATAAATAAATAAATAAATAAATAAATAAATAAATAAATAAGTAGCAAAAAGGAAAAAAAAAAAAAAAAAGTGTTAAGCCAGGGCCTATTAACAAAAAAACCCCGTAATAGGATCGTGGAAGAGTGTTTTCTTCTTTCCTCCGACAGCACAATCCCATTTCATCCAGCTCTCCAATATTCCGTATCACAGAGCTCTTCGTCCCCACAATTTCCCAATTTCTATCAGATCCAGCCTCTGCATCGGAGTTTCTCTTCAATTTCACCCCCAACTCCCGCGCAATCGCCTTCACCTCTTCACGATCTCGAGTCTCCAATCAGATTTGGGGCGTTGCTTCCGCACTTCTTCCGATTCGCGCCGGTTCTGTCGGTTTATCTCGAAGAAGAGCTCAAATTCGCTCTATTGCAGGTAATTTGGTTATTTTGCGACAAATTTTATATGTTAATTTTGGGGAAGGGAACTTGATTGCTGGGTTGATTGGGGAATCTGAATCGAATTTCGCATCCGAACTTGTCTAACAATTATCGCTTGATTCGAAGTTGTGATTGATACGCAATGGTTACAACTTTATTGTTTCTCTAATGGAGTGGGATTCTGAGAATTCTCAGCGATTTCAGGTGGTTATGGTATTGTAGAATCTGAATCTGGAGGCTAGGTTTTGGAAAATGCATATGAAAACCACGCAATCGTCGTTTAGGGATCGAACGCAGGAGTTTCAGAGCGTAGCGGAGAGACTAAAGAAGTCATTGGCTCCGGGTGCGAATGGGCCGAGTAGCCGGTCGAAATCGGAGGAACAGCGATCTGCCATTGCAATCCAGTCGGAGTTCAATAAGAGGGCTTCCAAGATCGGGTATGGGATACATCAGACGTCTCAGAAGCTTGCAAAGCTGGCAAAGTGTAAGAATTTGAACCAACGTTGTTGTAATTTATTTTTTTGTGACTATGATTATACTTCGCGCATTGACTTAATAGTTATGTTTAAGTGTGGAAACTATATGTTTTTGCTCTCGTGGTAGTGGCTAATGTATCGTGATCTGGAGTATTTTCAAGATTAAGCTATGAAGAGGAAGTAAGCATGTTGGTTTCTTTGATATCTCTGTTAGTTTATACCTAAGAAAAAGGTGGAATTGCTTTTCATCAACATGGCTGATTTCAATTTACTAATTATTATAAACGGACTTGTATGCTGTTGATGATGTTGAGGTGGTTGGTCTCGTGTCTGTTGTAAGAATTATTGTGAACATTATGGTTGTGTTTGTTTATTTCTTATTTCTTATTTGTCTTTGTTTTTTTTTGGTCTTCTGTTGTAGTGGCAAAGAGGACTTCAGTTTTTGATGACCCCACAATGGAAATCCAGGAACTGACAGCAGTAATCAAGCAGGACATTACTGCATTGAATTCTGCAGTTGTAGACCTTCAGCTTCTCTCCAATTCAAGACACGAGAGTGGTAATATCTCAAGTGACACCACTAGTCATTCAACCACAGTTGTTGATGACCTGAAGAATCGTCTAATGAGCACCACAAAAGAATTCAAAGAAGTTCTTACAATGCGTACAGAGGTAAGGCCAAGTGTTGCATTTATTCTTGTTTGTCCAATTAGGCTGTTGTCTGAGTGGGAAAGTACTCCATCATCATTAACTCTATTTATGGATTCATTTTACAATGTCGGCTAAAGGTACCATATTACTTTTTTTTTTTTTTTTTGTGTGTGTAGAATTTGAAGGTCCATGAGAATAGAAGACAATTGTTTTCTTCTACAGGATCAAAGGATTCTGCAAATCCTTTTGTTCGTCAACGTCCACTAGCTTCTAGGTCAGGTGCTAGTACTTCAAATGCCCCTCCTCCTCCATGGGCTAATGGATCATCATCTTCTTCGCAATTCTCCACTGGGTAAGAGATTGTCTGGATTATGTTGTATTCTTTTTTTGCACCTCTTCTATAATTTTACCTTTTTTTTGAAGGGTACAAATTTACCTTTTAGATAGTGGTAACTATATAGCCCTTTTTGTATGCAAGTTGTCCATGACGCTCCATTACTCTAGCTTTTTTTTTTTTTTTTTTGATAAACCATTACTCTAGCTATTGTCTATGATGTCTAGAACGTTAAATTTTTGTCCTCTTATCTTGATTTAGGGTTCTTAAAACAATCTAAGGAGACGTTTGGTTCATGGATTAGAATCATGTGATTAGAATCATTTTTGATTTACCTGTATTTTTTGTGAGAGAAAACACTGTAGCGAACCATGAACCATGATTCAAATCATGGTTTGAATCCTCCAACCAAACGTCCCCTAAAATGTTCTATTATTAAAAATAACAAACATATATAAACTTTTTACAATGACTAGTTGGTTCCATTATGGCTTTATTCAATGTAGCCTTGCAGTCTTATTGATGTCACTTGGCCTTGATGATTTGATTTAATACGTGCAACATTTTGTCTATCTTTGGTGGAACCTTTTCATGGTTTCTAAACTTGCAGGAAGCAGGCAGATGGTGAGAGTCAGCCGTTGTTGCAGCAGCAGCAGCAGCACCATCAACAGCAACAACAACTTGTTCCATTGCAAGACACTTACATGCAGAGCCGAGCTGAAGCTTTACAAAACGTAGAGTCCACTATTCATGAGCTGAGCAGTATCTTCAACCAACTAGCAACTCTGGTTTCCCAGCAAGGAGAGATAGCCATCAGGTTTGTATTTATTTCAGCATGTTAACTAAATCTGCTAATGAAGTTGACACACTATATAATTGCTAAGGACAAATTGCACGTTTTCCCCCCGAACTATAGGCCTAGTCACAAAATGTCCCTTGAACTTTAATTTTAGCTTTTTTCCCCTGAACTCTAGTTAACTCTTGCAAATTTTCCTCATTGGTTAAATTATTGACGGAAAATGTTATGTAAAATGCAAAAATTAACGAAAAAAGAAACTCCTTATGTTGAGATTTTTAACAGAAATAACACGTATTACAAAAATAATGAGTGCCGTTGAACAATAGTGAACAATTACTCGGTTATGCAGCAGGACTAATCATTTGTTTTACTATACTTAACTTCCTTCTTAGTTTGCTTAACCTAAGGAACTTTGGGGGTTCATTAATGGCGGCTAACAACAATAACGAGAGTAAAAATTGAATAAAAAGGGAAAATTTGCAAGAGATACTGAAGTTGGGGTGTTAAAATTAAAGATCGGGAGGCATTTTGTGACATGACTTATAGTTCGGGGGGAAAACGTGTAATTTGTCCTGCTAATTTTTTATTTTTTATTTTTCCAGGAGTCACGTACTTCTGTATGATTATGTTGTATCTTTAGGTTAGCAAACTGAATAGCGTTGGGTCGGTTTGTAGAGCTTTGTTCATACTTCATAGGTCTTTGAATGATGAGCTGCTATAGTTTATGCTGACGATATTCTGATTCTGTAACATGCTGTTGCTGAGTAAAACGGAAGTTTGGTCACTGTACCGTATATGTCATAGCTCAATATTAGTATGTAAAGAACTCCTTAATAGAAACCATGGTGCTTTTTGTTCATGTGAAGTACTTTTGCTCTGCATAAGTTATTTGGATCACTACTTTGAGTACCATTAGAAAACAGAAAGTTCCAAATGCATAAAGTATTAATGCGAAACTGAATGAATAATCACCGATATTTGTTGTTATCATTATCTACGGTTCGTGTGAATCTTTCCAGAATTTGTCCGAGTTAATAATCTGATAATGTTATATTTTCTTTTCAGGATTGATGAGAACATGGATGACACATTGGTCAATGTAGAGGGCGCACAAGGAGCACTGCTCAAGTATTTGAATAGCATATCCTCTAATAGGTGGCTGATGATCAAGATATTCTTTGTATTAATTTTTTTCCTCATGGTTTTCCTATTTTTTGTGGCATAGTCGTGTGGAAGAGAGAATTGGAAAGGAAGAAAATTACTGTTCTTTTTCCGTTGTGACAAGCTATATCTGCTCTTTTATTCTCCCTCCCTTATATGCTTATTATAAATTCATGCGGACAGAAAGATGAGTACCGGCTTACCTAATGTGATATATGTCGGATACGTGTAAGTGTAAAAGTTACTGAGAACAATGTCATTTGCAAAAACTCTTCGTTTATCAGCTTCTGTGTAAACTTTTTGGTTCATTAGTGAGCATTTTATCTAGAGTGCATTTAGTCTTGGTTTATAGGCAGGATTTGGAAATAGACCTGCTGGATTTCTGAACTAGTACAACTGTATCATTTATTTATTGCATAAAACGTCACAATTTATATCAATTGTACTTTGAATATGACCTGGACTTTGTACCCAACTGAATCAAAAAATAAGCCTAGCATCAGTAAATTTTCGAAGAAATTTGCAAATGGTTTTTGTGTTCTTTTGCTGCCAAAAAAAAAAAAAAAAAAAGAAAAAACGAAAGAAAAGAAAACTAAAATTTTCAATTGCCACAGGTGGTGATCTATTAGGATTTTTTTTTTCTATTATTAGGATCGATTTCCATAAATAAATAAATAAGTTGTGCACTGACAATATCTACCTATGTATATCCATCTACCATCTGCAAGTAAAAAGGATCAGCAAAAAATTTTTAAACAGAAAAAAGAATAAAGATAGGTTTAACTGGAAAATACACAAGTTGGAAGAGCATTTAGTAAAAAGTCCTTATAATAACACCACCTCTATCGTGTTCCCTCAATTTTTGCCCTACCCCTTTTCCAAAACGCTACACTCACATCTGACATCACACACACACATATATCTTTCTCCACCAAATCTCCAATCCATTCAACCCCTGCCCCCAAAAATTCTTCATCCGGTCGTCTTCACTGACAGCCCCACCCTTCCATCACAAACTCCCGCGAATCGAAATCTCGATATCTCAGAATCGAAAAAAAATTCTTGTTTGTTGTTACTTGTATTACAATTTTGTTTTCTTGGGATTAAGATTCTTTCGGTCTTCCTGTAACGAAACCCTAAATCGAGTTTCAGAGCCCCAATCGGGAAAAAATTCCATATCTTTCAGGAAATTCTTGGAGAGTTTTTGTGCTTTGACGACTCGCTGATTTTCCGATAATTTGGCGATTTTTCATCTGGTGGTGATAAGCGTCGGCGGATCTGGAAATCGGAAGAGACAGAGAGAGATGTTGGGCGGAGGAAGGAGGGAGGACGGGTCGTTGGTGCTGAACAACACGAACGTGTTCGCCGCGCTCGATTCACTGAGGAGGAAGAAGAAGTCTGACAAGGACCGCAAGAGCAAATCCTCCTCCAAGGCCCAGTCCGCCGCCGCCGCCGCCTCCGCCGAGCCCAAGGAGCCCGAGCCCCAGGTGTTCTGGACTCCTGCCCCGTTGAATGCCAAATCTTGGGCCGACGTCGACGACGACGATGACGACGACTATTACGCCACCACCGCCCCGCCTCAGCCCGTCTGGTGCTCCTCCGAGCCGGAGCAGACTAAGGATTCGCCCAGCAATGCAGAGGTTGGACTTGCAAGTTTTGTCCTTTTTCCCGCTTATCGCTTTAGAAAGTTACTTAATATTTGTTTATTGTTATTTTGTAACTTGTAAGGCGATAATATTGTGTGATTTTTATCTATTTCTATGCGTTATTTTGAGATTGATTGAGGTTCATGTCCTTAGTTACATGTTCTTATTAGGTGGATAACATGACACTAGAGAATGGGTCTTCAACTGTTTCGTAATTCATAGGCGTTGATTTAAAAAAAAAATGATGGGGTTCCAACTTTTTCATAGGTGTTGAAAATAAAAGTTGTCATTCATATTTTGGTGTGAGTAGGTGGTAGAATGCAACATAAGTTATAATATTTTATGGTAGTTGTGAATTTTTCGAGCCTGAGCAAGGTTTATTTAGCTACACTACACTTGAATAAGTTATTTTCCTGCTTAGTTAATTGTATGTGTTTAGATCGTACATGGAGAAGAACTTTGTTGCGGCCAAATGTAATTTTTTCTCCTGCTTAGTTAATTGTATGTGTTTAGATTTTATAGTAATCCGTACATGGAGAAGAACTTTGTTGCGGCCAAATTGGATTTTTTTTTTTCTTGGAAGGTCCTGGCATCTATCCACCTGAAGTGCTAGTTGGGTGCCACATCCCTTTTGACACATCCCTTTTGAACTAATTTGGTTCATTGTGATCTGAAATGGTATAGGTCATCACTTCCTATATTTATGACCATGTTTCTTTAATTTGATGATACTGTTCTCCGAATAAAGGCCAATATTTTAGGACCCTGTATGATAAAAATAATGTAGATCATCGATATTATACCATTGCCACTTGAATAACACGGCTAAAAGTAATTGGATATCTTTTATTACAGGATACTGATAGTGAAGAAGATATTCTTGATGAGGGTGATGGTGATGAAGACGTGGAAGAAGAACATGATCATGGAGCAGAGATTCCGGTGCACCCTGAGCCGGTGGTGAAGAAATCTCCTGACGTTTCTGTAGCTCCTAAGGAGGCAGAGAGGCAGCTTTCAAAGAAGGAAAGGAAGAAGAAGGAACTTGCAGAACTTGATGCCCTTTTGGCAGATTTTGGAGTAACGACGAAAGAGAGTGACGGTCAAGATGAGTCATCTGGTAATTAGACAATTATTTTGTTTAAATTATTTCTAAGTTTGAGTTTTTTGCCTTCTATTGTGAATCTGTGATTATAGTGCCCTTACGACTCTTTTGAACCTGTGTTTGATGAGTCTTAAGTGGCATAGTCTACAGGCTCTTTTATGCAATATTTATTTGTTGTTTGGTAAGGAAAAGTGTAAATTGATTCAAAATTGATATTCATAAAATTGATAGTGTCTCTTGAGTTCTTCAAATATGGTATTTTATCTGATCAAGGATCTTAGCGAATTTGTATTTGCAGAAGCTGCAAAAGATAAGGATGTAGAGCCTAATGGAGATGGAGAAAAGAAGGATAATCCTGTTACGGAGTCTAAAAGTGCCAAGAAGAAGAAAAAGAAGGATAAATCTTCCAAAGAGGTGAAGGAATCACAGGATCAGCCAAACAACTCAGAGGTTGGCAATGGGTCAACAGACGAAGCAGCTGCCGGAACTCAGCAGACAGAGGAGGACGTATCTGCTGTTGATGTTAAGGAGCGGCTAAAAAAGATGGCGTCCATGAAGAAGAAGAAGTCAAGTAAAGAGATGGATGCTGCTGCAAAAGCTGCAGCTCAAGAGGCTGCAGCGAGGAGCGCAAGGCTTGCTGCAGCTAAGAAGAAAGAGAAGGGCCATTACAACCAGCAACCAGTGCGGTAAATCTCAATTTTGTTCAGCGTATATAGGAGCATGTGTGTCATTGACCAAAATATGTGCGAAATAAACTGAGCTCTTTGTCTGTTTCTTTTCTTTCTTTTCTTTTTTCTTGTTTTAGTAAAGTTGGCTCCTAACTGTATCGCGATGAACAATATAGGAAGTTTCATTTTCATGTTTTGGGATCTTATTTTTTGTTCTGTTGTCATGGGCACATATCAATTTGGCAATTTTGCTCAATGGAGAATTTTTCCTTGGAAAGTTGTTCAACTGGATCGGGTTGTGTTTTTGTGGTTCATCTTCCTTCATGTTTCTTTTGTGTCAAAAAATTGGGTATGCTGAGTGTGGACGATTGGCAGCATGGAATGTTCGCTCTATGTTTGGCTTGTCACTTTTTGGTGTAAAGTAAATACTTCTAAGCTTTCTCATGATGTTTGAATGGCACCTTGGGTATTTATGTATTCATTTTGCATTCTCTTGTACTCCCTTAAGCGAGAATGTCTAAAATCTCTTTGGGGGCTCTTTTGAAGCGATTGGCTAGCGTAGCATAAAGCAGTGACATGCTATCTGAGTTATAGCTGACCGAATAAAAAATCTGCCTTCTTGGACGAACATCATTGTGTATTGGCAAACATTTCAGTGTGCTTTTCGTTATATTATAATGTTTTTGTGCGCGCGCGCGCGAGTGAGTTTGCCTGTCTCATGGACGGGTGATTTTTTCTCACGTTCAACTCATAATTTAAGTGTCACAAAAAAAAAAAAAAAAAAAAAAAAAAAAACACACATTTAAGTGATAGCAGAAGACTGAAAGGTCGATCCAATGATCAAAATAATTGTTCGTGACTAGAGACAATGTATTGGTGGGTGGCTTTGAGAAAGATGATTTACCAATATTTACTCTGTTACTTAATTGGTATTGGATGGATTTGTTTATATTTGTTGAGTAAATTATGTGGTCAACGGATGATCTACCAATAGTTACTGAGGAAATAAATTGACACATGGTTGGTTTACTCATATTGTAATAGACCTAATGGTTTACTTGTATGGTAAATATCATGATGAACAATCTATTTTTATATTTTATCAAAATTATCTCAGAATGGGTAAAAACAAAACCCCAACCCAAAAGTCTACAAATTAACCCTAATAAAAAACCCTGAAATCCAAATTTGAGAAGTCCTTGCCATAGCACGCTCCTCCCTAGCTGTTGCCGCTGAACCCACCCGCCAGCGACATCTAACAATGGTAACCGCAAGCAACCGTATCTTTGCGGGTGCAATGCTACGCGCCACCTCGAATCTTTGCTGGTGCAATGCTACGAGACACCTCAAATCTTTGTGAGTGCAATGCTCGGTCGTTATGGCTACGTCGGCGAAAGAGTTGGATTCTAATAAAAGTTTTAAAAACCATCCACTTAGAAACCATCTTTAAAAATAAAGAAGCCATTTCCTTCCATCAATTTTTTTTTTTATTGACTATAGTTTCTTACTAATTAATTAGGGAACATTTACATCTATCTAATATCTAATATAGTGATAGTAATATATGTTAAAGAAGACTTCAGATCCAAATTTATTATTATTGTTATTATTATCATTATTTTATTTTACAAATCATCTTGAGATTCAGATTTCATTCTTTGAACATGTGGACCCAGCAGCAAAGCACAAAAAAAAAAATTCTATAACTTAGGGGTCGTTCTTTTACTATGAAACTCAAAAAAAATTTAAATTCGAGTTACAACTTTATTTAAGTTCATGTTATTTTATAAAATTTGAGTTTAAACTCGAGTTTGAAGTTAAACTCGAGTTCAAATTTTCCCTTCAACTCGAGTTCATAAACTTGAATTCAAGTTAATGAACAATAGAGTCCGTTTAGTTCGCTGATTCGAGTTTTTAATTCGAGTTAAGATGTGATGTTATGTGAGAGCTTTTTACTGTACCAAAAAAGTTAGATGTGACTGTTTCTGAGAGCTTTTTACTGTAACAAAACTCGAATTCTAAACTCGAATCGGCGAAGTGAACGGGTTCAATATTTTTTATATTCTTAAAAATGTCATAACTTTTTATGTTTTGTATTCACAACGAAAAGATAAATAAAACCCCACTCATATACCCTATTAAAATTTTTCATCACCATTGAGTTTTTATTAAAATACTATCTAAATACATATTTAAGTTTTGACTCACCTAAATACAAACTCAAAAAGATTCTCAATTCAAATTATAACTCAAATGTGCACATCTAAACACAAACTTAAATTATATTTTCAACTCAAGTTATAACTTAGAAGACGTTTGGTTCATGAATTAGAATTATAAAATTAGAACCATTTTTTATTTATGTGTATTTTTTGTGAGAAAAAATACTATAATAAATCTAAATTATGATTTAAATCATAGTATTAATTCCCTTACCAAACGTTTCTTTTAACTCAATTTAAAATTATCACTTAAATTATCCTAATTCAAAAATGTGAAAGAACAACTTAGGCGTTTGGATGATTGATCCACAATATTCTGAAGTCACGTCGGATAGGGTTGTAATCGTCATTTCACGACTCCAGGTGGCGGCTCCGTCAAGAAGCCAAAATATTTTCCCTCACTTTCCCACCCTCACACAATCACACGAAAGAAAAGAAAAGAAAAGAAAAGAAAAAGTAATATAAAACCATCCCGGCAAGTAATTCTGGCGAAGCAAAGCACTTTCTCTCAAACTGAATTCTGGCGAAGCAAAGCATTTTCTCTCAAACTGACTCAAATCGCCAAAAGAGAATTGGGGAAGAAAAGAGAAACCAACACAGAGCATAGCTAATTGATATTCATTCGAATTTTCAATTTCGGCTGGAGAAAAATGCTCATTTCAATTTCTCCAGGTTGTATTTTCCTCCAAGATTCCTTCTTCAAACTCTTCCCTCGTTCTTTCTTTCTTTCTTTCTTGCTCTCTCTTTTTCGGTTGTTTGTTTAGTTGCTGCAGAAAATGTTCGTTAGACATGTAACGCTTTTAACATTTTTTTTTCTTCTCACACTTCGTAGTAAATCTCTCCGCTACTGTTGTCATATCTCTCTCTCTCTCTCTCTCTCTCTATATATATATATATATATATATAATCCGAGGAAAATCTTTGCGTTTGATTTTGCAGAAATGAAATTGGAGGGAAGTAAGTGAGACGTGAATCTCGATTGATTTAGGGCTGATTTTTCTTTATGGCTCACAAGGAAAGAGGAAAATAGAAGTTTCTGCCACTTCAAGAATCAAATTCTACTGTAAATGACAGAAAATTTCGCCTTATATGTTCAGTTCAATTGCCCAAGGCCTTTGCGACAGTGACCAAAGTGCTAGGGCATTGAATTTTTTCTTTTTTCAAACCTTAGAAGTTTATAAATGCCTTTTGGAGCTAGAATAAATAATTAAAAAAAATCTCCCTTTGTTTGCGTGTAAGTAATCTTATGTTGCTGAGCTGAAATTATTTATCGAATGAGAATTAAATTCGTTTTCTTCATTTTTTACACTCCTGGTTTTTCTTGTTGAATCCAGTACACATAAATTTCTTATTTTTGATTTGGTTTCGATAGTTTATTGAACATCATTTTTCTGCCTGTATAGGATTGGAGTGGCTGTGCATTCCGTATTAGTGTAATTTGTTAGGGGACTAGGAGCAACCAGCTTCTTCGTCCCCAACACATGGGGTGAAATTGAGCATTTTGTTATACAAGGGAAGACCATGAGCGGGAGACTCCGTTGCCCTTTTCTTGGGGTTCCACTTCATGGGTCTTCTTCGAACGGCAGAAAGGTGGGAAATTTTATTTACTTAGATGGAGGGCAGCGGGGAAAAAGGCGTTCTCAGAGGTGCGTATTTGCAAGGCAGAATCCTTGGATAACTCAAGTCATTAGATTTTCGCATTTCTGTGGACAAAATGTGGAATTGTTCAAGAAAAATTTGGGGTCTAGATATGGAATGAAGGTTGAAGAACGTCTTTCTCGAAGCAAGGCTTTGGTGAGCTCTTTGGCTCCTTTGTGGAAAGAGGGGTTATTTCTTATTAGATGCTCTGTTTTTGTAGCTGTGATCTCCGGGGTGTGCTTGTTAGTATGGTATGGGCGGGCAAAAGCCAAAGGGTTTGTTGAAGCCAGGCTTTTGCCGTCCATTTGTTCTGCACTTAGTGAGTATATAGAGCGTGAGCTTGATTTTGGTAAGGTTCGTAGGATTTCCCCCTTAAGCATTACATTGGACTCGTGTTCAGTAGGGCCTCATAATGAGGAATTTTCTTGTGGCGAGGTGCCCACCATGAAAATTCGTCTTCGTCCTTTTGCAAGTCTAAGGAGGGGAAAGATTGTGGTCGATGCAGTTTTGTCTCATCCGACTTTACTGGTTGTGCAGAAGAAGGATTATAGTTGGTTAGGGATACCTTCATCGGGAGATGCTCTTCAAAAACATTTATCAACTGAAGAAGGAATTGATTACCGTACAAAAACCCGGAGGATTGCTAGAGAGGAAGCAGGTGCTCGCTGGGAAAGAGAAAGGGATGAATCAGCCAAAAATGCTGCAGAAATGGGATTTATTGTTTTTGACAAGGGTTCTAGTCTATCTGGACGTGATTTTTCGAAAGAAGACAGCAGTCGTTTAGTTGAATTTACAAGCTTAGACTCTTTTTTATGCACAGATGAGAGGATGCATTTGAGAGATCATCATTGCCTGGACACAGGTGTCGATTATGATACGAAGCATGCAGATTTAGAGAAATCATTTGGTGTGAAAGTTCCCGGTTCGGGGCTTAAATTCTGGTCCAGTGTGATAAAGGGGCCAAAAAAACGCAAATTCAAAAGGAGTGCTAATGGAAGTGACATCTCGGCATCTGGAATTACTGCCAAAAGAAGAATTCTTGGGCGTAGTGCAATAGCAGCCGCCGCATATTTTCAAGGATTATTAAGTAGAAAGTCTAGCGGGCCTTCAGCGCCATTGGGAGGTTATGATGTTAGTAATCTTGATACCCTTTTGGTGCAAAATGAGGTTGGTGCTGGCACTTCTAGCTCAAGTGCTGCAGGAGCTAATGCTAATTGTTGTGGAGAAAGTGAGAATCTAGGAGGTGACGTTCTAGCTGGCCATGATGAGATACCAAAGAGCCATGAACGTCATGCATCAGGAAATCCAATCCCCGAACAGCTCGATCAATTGCTTGATTCAAACCGGCCAGTTTCTATCTGGCCATTAACAATTGATTCAAGATTATCCATTTTTTCTAGAAACCTGAAGGACCGGTTATATTGCTTTTTCTACACGCCCATTCAAAAGCTGGCATCACGTACAGGTCCTAGGGTTGACGATATTGTTGCAGAAATTGCTTATGGGGAAGATGTAGTGCAAGATGAAGGTGTTGGAAAGACGCTTCCAGTTATGCTTGATTCTGTCCATTTCAAAGGAGGAACGCTAATGCTACTTGCATACGGTGATAGGGAACCAAGGTGCGGGGTGCTCCTGTTGCATTTATTAGTAATTTACTATTGACAATAAGATTGTTTTAACAGTCAAACTTCAATCTAAGCTTTTTGTCGAATTCCAAGATGTCTTTTTTTTTTAACTGAATTATATGAAGTAACATTTTTTTTTACACTGATGCCTTTAATTGTAAGATTGGCGCCTTTGATACCATCTACCACTGATGGGAAAAAAAATGCTGCCCAAGAGCAAAAAGACACAAGAAAAATTTGAAAAACCAAGATTGGGTATTTTTCTATTTGATTGACATATTAGCAGAAAGCCAGAAGGAATAGTTATAGAAATCTCTATTTCAGTCTATTTTCCTTAGAAAGCCAGAAGGCATAGTGATAGAAATCTCTATTTCAGTCTATTTTCCTGATTGCACTTGTGAAGAACCGAATCTTTATAAATGTCTAGGGAGATGGAGAATGTTAATGGACATGTGAAGTTTCAAAATCACTACGGCCGAGTTCATGTAGAATTGAGTGGCAACTGTAAGATGTGGAGATCAGATTTAACATCTGAGGACGGCGGCTGGTTGTCTACAGATGTTTTTGTTGACATTGTTGAACAGAAATGGCACGCCAACTTGAAAACTGGCAATTTATTTGCTCCGGTAAGGTATACTGCATGTTGAATGTGATACATTATTGAGATTGTCAAGACTTCTGTTTGCACTTTAGGTTCTTAAAAGATTTACCTACTTTTGTTCTATTGCTTCTTTTTTTTTTATTTTTTTTTTTATTTTTATGCAGCTCTTTGAAAGGATTTTAGAAATTCCTATCGAGTGGTCCAAAGGCAGAGCCACAGGCGAGGTGCTTCTCTGCTTTTAACTTAAGTTTTTACTCTTTTTTTTTTCATTGTCAAAATTTATTGGAATATATCTGAAACAATAAACATTGTACCCCGACCCCAGATTGATGACTCTTATTTTTGTTAGGATGCTGGCTGACATGCATTTCAATCTTACTAGCAAGAAACCGTTTTGTTGGGTATTCTAAGAGAAAAGAGAGAGAGATGCTTTGTCATTCGCATTGTGTTCTGATGTATACTATATCCCAATCTTTGTGTGGTTGCTATGTCACGCTTTTTTTTGTTATTTGTTTTATTACTATACACTAGAAAAGTGAGTGTGGTTTCGGGCTGTTTTGAGGAGGCATTAGGTGTTGGAATTCCTTGTCAAATTTGAGTTATTTGAAATATCTATTCTGGCAGGTTCACATTTGCATGTCTACCGGAGAAACATTTCCAAATCTTCATGGACAGCTTGATGTCACAGGGTTGGCTTTTCACATATATGATGCTCCATCTTGGTTTTCTGTACGTTCTACTTTCATTTGTTCAATGATGGAGGAAATGATTGGGGTCCCTGCTTTAACAGATACCTGAAACCCATTAGTGGGTTTAGGCATTTCTTAGTTTGTTATCTAATAATATGTAATTTGCTGACAGAGGTTCTCATCACATAATATTTTATGTGTGTATGTACACACACACACACACACACACACACAAGTATATATGTATACCTAAACGCGTGCCAACATATAGTCATGCATTGCTAGGACATTTGTCTCTACCTTAAAATTGTAACGTTAACATGATCCTAGTTGCATATGGGAATTGATTGCTTTATGATTATCATTACCTTATTGTGATAAGAGTTTTCTGTTGTGCATGCTTAACATACAGGACGTTTCAGCAAGTTTATGTTTTCGTGGTCAACAAATTTTCTTACATAATGCACATGGATGTTTTGGTGACGTTCCTTTAGAGGCTTCTGGAGATTTTGGAATTCATCCTGATGAGGGAGAGTTTCATGTTATGTGTCAGGTATCTCTTCTCTATGCTTCTAGTTTGTATGCACAATTTTTACGAGGTCAAAAGGTGGATGCTACAGATTATTTACTGGGGATTTTTTCCTTGGATGAATCCTCCAGCATAGTCGTTTGTAACTATTTGTTTGAGGTTTAGGCAAATGTTTTTCTTACATTGTGGTCGAATGAAATTTGTCAGTCATTACGTAGAAGTTTCAACTTTTTTTAATTTTTTTTTTTATTTTTACCTGAGACATCTGTTTTTGTTTAAATAAAGTATTGTGTCTACCAGTTTGAATAATTTATCTTTGCATTATCGTCGATTCAAGTCATCTTTTAATATTTGAGGATTTCTTCTATTTTTATTTTTATTTTTTAATTTTTACCCGAGACATCTGTTTTTGTTTAAATAAAGTATTGTGTTTACCAGTTTGAATCATTTATCTTTGCATTATGGTCGATTCAAGTTATCTTTTAATATTTGAGGGTTGTTTTTATTTTTTATTTTTTTATTTTTAATATAGCGCTCCAATCAACTCTTAATCTTTGCATAAAAATGTTATTCACAGGTTCCTTGCGTAGAAGTAAATTCTCTGATGAATACTTTCAAGATGAGACCTCTCATGTTTCCGGTACATGCATCTTGAGCTTTTTGATCTGTGTGTTTCTTCTTCCAATGCAAATGAAAATTACCTGTACGGATATATTAACATATTCACTCCTGGATCGATAATTCTCTCTCAGGAAGATGCCTGAACAAGGAGATAGTACTGATACAAGTTCATCCATATTCCATACCATTCCTAGCATTGTTAATCACCATTTTCCGTATTGGTTGCAGCTTGCTGGTTCTGTGACTGCTGTTTTTAATTGTCAAGGCCCACTGTATGCTCCTATATTTGTGGGAAGTGGAATGGTTTCTAGAAAAATGTCTTATTTAGCTTCTGATTTTGCTCCATCCGCTGCTTCAGAAGCTGTTTTGAAAAGTAAGGAGGCTGGTGCCATAGCCGCGTTTGATCGCGTTCCATTTTCATATTTATCAGCCAACTTCACCTTCAATACGGACAATTGTGTAAGTTTTTTAAGGGCAACTAATTGAATGGTCAGTCCTCACTTTATATGTGCAGAATTTTCAAATGTAAATCTACTGTGTTATAGGTTGCTGACTTATATGGAATTCGAGCTAGCCTTGTGGATGGTGGTGAAATTCGAGGTGCAGGGAATGCGTGGATTTGCCCGGAGGTATTAATACTTTTATGAGACAGACTGTCTTGTTCTTAATCTGGACGAATGTTTAGTTATTACTCTGTCTTCTTTCTGCTAACTGCTAAGATGTGCGTCTCTCTTTACATATGCACGTAAACATTAGTAATCACTTGTTTTTTTTTTTTTTCTTTTCCTTAGTCAACTCATGGGAAGTGTAGTTGCATCTTCTCAATATTTTGAATTCTCTTTCATAGGTTTACTTCTTAGAGAGCTTTCATCAACTTGTTGGAAAATCTTTCTTATTATGTTACATTTCACTCTGTTGTACTTTCTTTTAGTTGTAGTCCTCGTGTATGGGCTGGAAACTCTTTTGTCTGAAGCCTAAGTGACGTTGTCTGACTAGCTGTTAGATATGGAACAACTTTTTCTTTCTTCCTTCTTTTCTTTCTTTTTTTTTTTTCCTTTATTTTATTTATTTTATTTTTTTTATGGTGAATCTTTGGGACTTCTGCTGGAATCTTTGTTTTTCAAATTAATCTTGGTGCAGAGTTTTTGACTTTACAGGGTGAGGAGGATGACACAGCAATGGATGTGAACTTCTCTGGAAGTTTGTGCTTTGACAAAATAATGGATCGATATATGCCTGGTTATCTTCAATTAGTTCCATACAAATTAGGGGATTTAAATGGAGAAACAAAACTCTCTGGTTCCTTATTGAGACCGTATGACTCTTCACTTCATGCTTACAAATTATTGTTAATGCTGCTCAAAATTTCCTCAATGGCTATTTGGAAAATTTTTTTTTGAAGAAGATGGCTGTTACAAAATCTTGGTAGTGCGGTAAAGTATATCCTGTTTTGGATGTTCCTTAGTCTCCAATTTTTCTCATGTGACATTCTTTTTGTATAGGAAATTTGATATTAAATGGACTGCACCAAAGGCTGAAGGGTCATTTAGTGATGCTCGGGGAGACATCATCATCTCACATGATTCAATTGTTGTTAATTCCTCATCTGTTGCTTTTGAGTTGAACACAAAGGTTCAAACATCTTATCACGATGAATACTGGCTAAACAGGAAGAATTTTAGTGCAAAGAGTGCCATGCCATTTGTTGTTGAGGGAATCGAATTGGATTTGCGTATGCGCGCTTTTGAATTCTTTAGTTTGGTCTCTTCTTATCCTTTTGATTCTCCAAAGCCCATCCACTTGAAAGCAACAGGAAAGATCAAGTTTGCGGGCAAGGTGTTACAACCAAGCAGTATAAGTAATGAGCAAGTCTCAGATCTCGAGATTAACAAGAAACAAGTAAAATTAACAGACAAAGGAAACTGTCTTGCTGGTGAAGTTCATATCACGGGTCTCAAATTGAATCAGTTGATGTTGGGACCTCAATTGGCTGGACAATTGAGCATTTCACGTGATTGTTTCAAGGTAGTGTAAATCTCAATTCATGGTGTACATTATTACTTAAATATGTAAACATGTTAAACGTTTAGATGATTTGCTTGACTGTTTAAAGCAAAACAAGAAGGTTACAAAAATAAAGACACACATATAAGGGGGGTATTAGACAAAAGTCGGCAACTCGTTGGGTTCAGTACTGAGTATTTGACTACTCTATTTGATGTTAAAGATTGAAAGCTTATCTGTCAGACAAGTAGAGTTATTGTCATACGAGTACATATAGAGTGTTCAATTAGACACATTGTTCATAGGGGGTTCCATGAGACACAATGTTCATGCAAAAGTGAAATTGTCACATCCTGTGAAATGCTTGGGGAATGAGAAAAAATTTTGAATGAATGAAATCGGGAATTTGAGAATAGGCCTGGTTTCATGGATCGTTTGAATAGAAAAGGAAGGTAGTTGGATATCTTTGGTCATAGACCTATCACTGTTATTACAATAGTGAATTACTCTATCCTGTTTTGATTGCCAGGCTTTTATGAAACCCTGTTTCCTTTAACGCAGCTGGATGCCACAGGCAGGTCAGATGAAAGTCTTGCAGTGGAGTTTGTAGGGCCATTGAATCCTAACAGTGAAGAAAATTCAGAACATGGAAAAATGTTGTCTTTTTCCCTTCAGAAGGGGCAACTAAAAGCTAACATTTGTTTCCAACCCTTTCATTCTGCTAACTTGGAGGTACCTGAACTTATTTATAGTTTATTTCTGTTTGTTAATAAAAATGAAAGAAAAAACATGCGCAAAGCTTGTTCCCTGCTTGTGTTTGCTGGTTGCAGGTGCGCCATTTGCCGCTTGATGAATTGGAGTTGGCTTCGCTCCGGGGGACACTACAAAGGGTAAGCTAGCTCGATGCTGCTTGAGTTAGTTGTTTCCTGCATTCCATTCTCCAACACCGTCGGTGGTCTTCCTTGCACCTTTAAATTATGGTAGAATGGCCAAATAAATGGGTTAAACGTTTTAAATTGTGAGTTTTTAGTTTGTGCTCTGTGGCAGTCGTACAATTTAGTGATTGCTTCTAAAATTATAACTGAAAGAATGCAATAATAGATGGGTGCAAGATAGTAACGTTAACAATGGTATGAAAGGCCTTTTTGTTTCAGTTTGAAGGCCATTTTAAGCTTCCAAATTTGCACCAAAATCTTTGCTGCTTGCTCCTATGTACTTCCTGGAGAGAAATATCATTGGTTTTCTATTGGTAGTTTTCTGATTTTTGTACAAATGTTTCCCATGCCTTCTATAATGTCAATACAGGTTAGCGCCTTGGCGGTTTCTTTTTTCTCTATGATGGATGAAGTGTCTTTACTTATAAACAGTCTTTTGAATCTTTTAACGGCTTTCCGTGGTAATTTTTTGTTCTCGTTTGAACTTAATTAGTTGGTTGTTTGCTTACAGGCAGAAATTCAGCTTAATCTTCAGAAAAGAAGAGGCCATGGAGTGTTATCTGTTCTTAGGCCCAAATTCAGTGGTGTACTAGGTGAAGCCTTAGATGTGGCTGCTAGATGGAGCGGTGATGTTGTGAGTCTCTTTACCATATTGTTGTGGGTTTGAACTGAATGGAATTCTGATGGAAACCTCAATAAATTGGCAGAAAACAAGACAGATGAATGTGAATTTTATTCAAATGCAATCAATCAATCACTATAACAATGGTGATATTCGAGAGATCACCGATTCTCCTCCCAAAACTCTACACTTCCAAAAACTACTCTAACCTCTCGAGCTCTCTCTTATTTATAGACTAACTCAGTCCCAATCACAACCCACGCTAACAAGCTAACCGAATTCAGTTACAAGCCACGTCAGTCATTACTTAACTAGCGTAGTGTTTCTTCTTTCTATTATAGTCAAGCAGCTCGTGGCCCTGGTTACAAGCCACATCAGTCATTACTTAACTAGCGTAGTGTTTCTTCTTTCTATCCCCTAATGCACAAGAACCTTGTCCTCAGGGTTCAAGTGGGGAAACTGAGTAGATAACAAAACCCACGACTCCTAGGTGCTATCACACTCAGGGAGGGCCTTCCATTGGACCAGAACTTCAATGGAGCCATCCAAAAGCTTCTGAGACCGAAGCAGGGCTGCTGGTTCCACCGCCAGCTCCATGTCCTCTGTCAAAGCGGTTGGCGGCTGCTGCACGGGCGTAGAGGGGAGTAACACCTTCCGAAGTTGGGACACATGGAACACGTCATGAATACGCACAAAGGAAGGAAGCTAGAGGCGATAAGCAACTTCCCCAACCTTCTCCACTATCTAGAATGGGCCATAAAAACGAGGGCTTAACTTTTCATTGCGCCGACGAGCCAACGACCTCCAACGGTAGGGTTGGAGCTTCAAATAGACCCAGTCACCTATTTGAAAATGGACTTCCCTGCGCTTCTTGTCCGCATACAACTTCATCCGAGTCTGGTCAATGGTTAATCTCTCTTTCAGCTCCCGAAGAATGTTATTCCTTTCACGTAGCTGCTGACAACTTCCACCACCGAGCCACCTTCCTCCCATCGGAAGAGCGTCTCGGCCATACAATGCGTGAATGGCGTCATCCCAGCCGAGCTATGGAATGTAGTATTAAACCAAAACTTGGCCCACCCCAACCAATTAGGCCATTGGTGTGGTTTGTTACCACAAAAGCACCTCAAATAATCCTCCAAACTCCGGTTAACCACCTCCGTCTGGCCATCCATTTGGGGATGGTAAGCGGAGGTCAGTACTTGCTAGCCGAAACAACTCCTTCCAAAAGTTACTAATGAACACCCGATCCCTATCCGACACTATTGAGTGAGGAAAACCATGCAAACAGACTACCTCATTCACAAAGACGTTCGCGACCTCCCGAGCTGTAAAAGGATGGGACAGCGAAAAACAATGCACATATTTGGTCAGACGATCCATCACCACCATAATCGTATCAAGCCCCAAGGCCTTAGGCAATCCCCCAATAAAATCTAAAAGACATCGTCCCAAACTTTCTTTGGGATCGGCAGGGCTGTAAGAGGCTGGCTAGTTTAAGGGCATCATATTTCACCTGTTGGCAAACATCGCATTCAGCGATTAAGCGCTGAATATCACGCTTCATTCCATCCTAGAATAAGACTGCCGCCAAACGCTTATAGGTCCGAAAGAACCTAGAGTGACCCCCCATAGCGGACGAATGGAATTCTCTGAAAAACTTCAGAATTAATGGAGAATTCGGTGTCAAAACAAACCTGTTTTTGTAGTAAAGATGACACCTCTTGAGCTGGTAACCGGCTTTGAATTGAGGGTCCAACAAGAGGCCCTGAACAATCAGTCGCAACTTATCATCCTTTTGCACCTCCTCTTCAATAGTCTCCAATTCCCGCGTACGCATCACCGAAAATACCTGCAGTTGGGGACCCTCGTTTTTTCTGGATAAGGCATCTGCTACACTCAGTTATCTCGCCTAGGCTTATAATTTCAAAATCCAATCCAATGAGCTTACAAATCCACCGTTGTTAAGCCTCATTCATGACAAGCTGTTCAAGAAGAACCGCAAGCTCCATTGATCCGCTCTCACAATGAAATGCCTCCAAAATATAATGCCGCCACTTTTTTGTAGCCAACACAACTGCCATTAAGTCGCATTCATACACTGATTTAGAGCGACCCCTATCAGAAAGCGATTGACTGATGAAAGCAATTGGCCTATTTTCCTGCATCAAAACAGCTCCCAGACCGCGCCCCGAAGCATCAGTCTCAATGACAGGTTTTGGTAAAGTCCAACAAGGCTAGAACTGGTATTGTGACCATCCATTGTTTTAGCTCCTCAAAAGCTCCTTGTGCTTCGAAAGTCCACAAAAAGGCATCCTTTTTAAGTAAGTGTGTTAAGGGTTCAACCACCTTACCATAGTCCTTCACAAAACGCCTGTAGTAGCCTGTGAGCCCCAAGAACCCCCGTAAATCCCGAACGGTCTTGGGAATGGGCCAATCAATCATGGCGGTAATTTTCTTAGGATCAGCTTGAACACCAGTGTCAGTGATGATATGGCCCAAATACTCTACCCTGCACTGCCCAAAAACACACTTCTTCTTGTTGGCCACCAATTAGTGTTGCTGCAGCCAGGCAAAGACACTTCGCAGGTGCTGCAAATGAGAATCCCAATCCTTACTGTAGACAAGGATATCATCGAAGAAGACCAAGTCGAATTTGCGTAAGCGTGGTCGGAAAACCTTGTTCATTAAGGATTGGAAGGTAGCAGGCGCGTTTGTTAAGCCGAATGGCATAACCAGAAATTCATAGTGACCGGCGTGAGTACGAAAGGCTGTTTTCGGTGTATCCTCACACACCCTGATTCGATGGTAGCCCGACTTCAGGTCCAACTTGGAAAAGAAAACAGCACCTCCTAGCTCATCCAACAATTCATCTATAGCCGGAATCGGAAACTGATTAGGGACTGTAATTTTGTTTAATGCGCGATAATCCACGCAAAAGCGCCACTCGCCGGATTTCTTCTTGACTAACAACACCGGACTAGAAAAAGGGCTGTTGCTATGTTTAATGATTCCTGTTGCCATCATTTCTTTCACAATTCGTTCAATCTCATTTTTTTGAGAATGAGGAAAATGGTATGGTCGTAAATTCGGTAGGTCTGTCCCCTCCTTCAGTGGAATCGCATGATCGCGAAACCGTGAAGGAGGAAGACCTGCCGGAGGTTCAAAAACCGAATGGAATTCTGTCAACAACTTCTCCAATTCAACTTCGTCTGCACTCCCTTCCGACCGGTCCAACACTGGCACCTGCCCAAACTCAACCAGGAACCCCTGTCCTTCCTTTTGAATCGCTTTAATCATCGCTTTAAGAGAGACCAGAGTTTTTGACAAGGAAGGATCCCCTTGGAGTAAAACCCGTTCTCCACGCCAATTAAACTGCATAGTGAGGTTCTTCCAATTAGCACTCACTTCTCCTAACATACCGAGCCAGCTGATTCCTAAAATTACATCAGAACTACCAAGTTCAATGGGAAAGAAATCTTGAATTATCTCCAATCCTTGCAACCGGACTTCCACTTGTCTACACACTCCTTGCCCGGCTACCTTGTAACCATTCCCAACCATTATTCCAAAATTGGGCGTCTCATCTATCGGTATTTTCAATTCCGCAACAATCCCCTTAGAAAGAAAATTATGTGAAGCGCCAGATTCAATTAAAATAACCACTTCTCTGTCTAAAATCGTACCTTTCACCTTCATTGTGTTTATTGACGGAATTCCGACTATGGAATTCATGGAAAGTTCCATGGACCCTTCTCCCTGCTCTGCTGTTGGTTCCCCCAATTCTTCCTCAACTCTAGCTTCAGCTCTATCCCTATCTTCTTCGTCCACCGCCGTGATGAGAACCTGTAGTTAGGGATTTTTACAAACGTGGCCGAACCGCCATTTCTCCTCACACCGGAAACATAATCCGCGCTCCCTTGGTCGCTGCATTTCAGTGTTTGAGATTTTCTTCTTGAAGCGGTCATGTTTCCTCGTGGTCTGAGAGGGAATATTATCTTGGTTCTTGTTGACCGACATGCCAGATTGACTGGAGTTGGTACGTGTCATCTCTGAGGCTCCTTTACTCCTATCCACAAGTTTCGGTGGAGTCCAGCTGGAGCCACTTCCCCGTATTGCCTCCAACCACTGATTTCTTCAGCCCATAATAGTCTCTTGTTCTGAAAAATCCAGCCCCGTCTCCACTCGGTTTGGGCCGTGATGTCCTCATTACTTGAGCCCTCTCAAGGGCCCAATTCTTTTCCTCAATTTTTTGGGCCAAGTCCATTATTTGAACTAGAGAGGTAGGCTTCACCATACGGACTTCAAACTTAATCTCCTCAGCTAAACCATTTGAGAAGGCTCCAATTAGGAATTCCTCGTCCGCCTCTCTCAAGGGAGCTGATAGCAATTCAAACTTCTCACGAAATTCCGCCACCGACGAGTCCTGTCGCAAAGCAATCAAGGCCTCGTAATGGTTGCCAGTTTGCGAAGATCAAAACCTTTGTATCACAGATTCCTTGAAGATCGGCCAATCTATGTTACCGGATCTGGATTCCATCCACTGGAACCAGTTCAATGCCTTCCCTTCCAATCCAATCACGGCCGCCGCGACCCGTTCCACCTCTTTGACGCCTTTAACCTAGAAATACCGCTCACGCTGAAATAGCCAGCCGTGCGGATCTTCGTCGTTGAAGAGAGGAATCTCCATTTGACGAAACCGCGATTCCCAACCACTCGGTGCTGAAACATTACCGGAACGATTCGCCGCCATTGTAGCGCCGCCACCTTCATCGCCGCTCGAAGCCGATGCCCTAGCTTGCTCTGCTGGTGGATTCGCATTGCCTCCCGACCTCATCCAACCGGTAAGCTCCTTCATATACTCCTTCACAACTCCCATATCCTCTGAAAGTTGTCCGACAACCGCTTTGAGTTCATTGACGTCCATCTTGAGCTCTTTGACGTCTTTTTCAACAAATTCTAATCTCCCATCCATCCTTGTGAATACCATTTCCCAGGCGAACTACTCTGATACCAATTTGATGGATACCTCAACAAATTGGCAGAAAACAAGAAAGATGAATGTGAATTTTATTGAAATACAAGCAATCAATCACTACAACAATGGTGATATTCGAGAGATCACTGACTCTCCTCCCAAAACTTTACACTTCCAAAAACTACTCTAACCTCTCGAGCTCTCTCTTATTTATAGACTAACTCAGTCCCAATAACAACCCATGCTCCTACGCTAACAAACTAACCGAATTCAGTTACAAGCCATGTCAGCTACTACTTAACTAGCGTAGCGTTTCTTCTTTCTACTATAGACAAGCAGCTCCTGGCCCTGGTTCTTATCAAATTCCTTCATGGAACGATATCTTTCTCCTACTAATTTATCTTCCTAGAGTTGATGCCACCGCTATAATTTTAATTTTGATGATTTCATGTTTGCTACCTGTTTGTTAGGCACATTTGACAATTTGAATGACGTGTCTAATATTGTATTTTATTTTATTTTTCATTTGTTTAGATTACTGTCGAAAGAACTGTTTTAGAGCAAAGCAATAGCAAGTATGAGCTTCATGGAGAATATGTGTTGCCTGGCACTCGAGACAGAAATCTTGCTGGCGGGGAGACTGGTGGCTTGCTTAAAAGGGCAATGGCTGGGCATCTAGGTAGTGTCATATCTTCCATGGGGAGGTGGCGAATGAGACTTGAAGTTCCCCGAGGTGAGGTTGCTGAGATGCTTCCCCTTGCAAGACTTATATCTAGAAGTACAGATCCTGCAGTCCATACGAGATCAAAGGTCATATTCCACTTGAATGCGTTAGGAATGAATGTGCATTATACTAATCATCTGATATCTTCGAAACGTTTAACTGCTTGAATCTGAATCGAACTATTCAACAATCTGGACATGGAAATTAAAGACTCTGTCCTTGAATATTTACAGTAAACCAACATCATAGGGTTTTCTCATTTTCCTACTTGCATCTTCATTGTTTCCCCCCTCGGTGTGGAATATTGTTTACGAAAAGGAGAAGACGGAGATAAACAAGAGAACAAGAAGCCTTAGCAAAAGAGGACAGCCCAAATAACGAAATATTTTCTGTTGATTCTGCCTTTCTTTGTAGCATTTCAAGTGATTCTGCCTTTCTTTGTAGCATTTCAAGTGATTCATCTATACTTATTTAGCTTCATTCGTGAGTGTCATTGTTCAAACTTTTGAAGAAACATGCACCACTGGAGTTGAATTTGTCTCAAAGTAATAGACTATTTTGGTAGAAATTATTTGGAAGGTGAGAAGGTTTTTACTGGAAGAAAAAGGGTGTTTCGGAGAGCAGTTCAACCTTTATAGGTAGGAAAGAACTCTGTGAACAGTGAAAAGTGTATGTAGAGTTGTATTTCTCTGAACACTAAAATCTATTACTTGATTGTATATATGGAGTATGTAGCTAATCTTGTCTAGTTGCAGAATGTGAAGTTGAATTGCATGTCACCGGCGTATAATATAACTTTGTCGATGGGATGTGGTTACTTTATTTCCTATTCAAATTGTCTCAACTCTAGTGCATTTTCAGCTTCTTGACATTTGAATATCCTCGAATGGCTATGCAAAATTTTAAGTTTCTAACTATATATGTTTCTTTCTCACTTCTCTGCAGGACTTATTTATTCAAAGTTTGCAATCAGTGGGATTAAACATGGAAAGTGCTAAAGAAATGCTTGAGGTAGTTTGTTTATGAAGCACTTTATCTTCATTTCTTGTTTGAACCGTTTCTACTTTATGCCCTTCAATCAGGCTCTGTTTGTTTCATAGTAGTGTTCAGAGTTTTTTTTTTATTCTTCCTTTTTTTGGTAGAAAGTAGGGCAGCAAAGTTTTGTGTTTTTATTTGATGAAAGGAAAAATGAAGAAAAGTGATGTATAAAAGGTGACCAAAGATGGTAACATAGTGGCTATTAAGGTGGTGATTGTAGCATTAGTGAGTAGTGATAGTAAAGGTGATGGATCGTTAGGAAGCAACTTCTGTGTGAGTATTTTATCACAAAATGTGGTAACCGCTTGCTATTTTTTACATTGTGTCTTGATTTGAAAGGTCCTTTTATGTTTGTAAGAGATATTCCACATGCCAAACAAGAAAACAACAAACACTTGTAGAAAACGATTTGTCTAAAGTGTCTTATTGCACACAAATTAAAATTTTCATTTCCTTTAATCTCTTGGAGATTTCTGCATGTAATCATTTCGCGACCAGTTTTATTTATTTATTTTTAACTATCTTGGTTGTAAACGATCTGTGACATCAGGTTATACATGGCCTTTACATATCATCAAACGAGGTTATTTTGGAAGGTCTAAGTCTTCCAGGTTTGGGTGAACTTAAAGGTCGTTGGCATGGCTCTCTCGAAGCAAGTGGTGGCGGCAACGGGGATACAATGGTGTGTACCTTTCAATCTTCAGGGGGCATCAATCTAGATGTTTGTATATCGAAAGATGCAATGGTCAATTTTGAAATGGCAATAAGACAAATTTCTTCTTAAAGGATTTGAAAAACATAAAAAGTTGTATATTGAGGTTCTGGTGTATTTCTCACTATATTGAATTTTGCTCGTTTTCTGTTATTGTCAGTTGAAGTCATATATTCTTAACTAATACCCTAGTTTTGGCTCGTCCTCCTTAGCAATTATGCTCTGGTCTTGAAGCTTACGTACTATCATCTTCGTTTGTTGTCTAGGAGGAATCATCTGTTTGTTACCGCTTATTATGTTTCATTGGTCCCTTGGTCAAAAATTGTTGTCTTCTTATTATTGTCTTTGGTTATTACTTGTTTTTCAGGCAAACTTCGACTTTTGTGGGGACGACTGGGAGTGGGGAACCTACAAAACTCAACGTGTTCTTGCAGTTGGTGCTTACAGCAATGATGATGGTCTGCATCTGGAGAAAATTTTTATTCAGAAGGATGATGCCACAATCCATGCAGATGGGACTTTGCTAGGGCCAAAGAATAATCTTCATTTTGCTGTTCTAAATTTTCCTGTGAGTCTAGTGCCCACTCTAGTTCAGGTTGTTGAGTCTTCAGCTAATGATGTTGTTCAATCTTTGCGACAATTCCTAGCACCAATTAGGGGTATATTGCACATGGAAGGTGATCTTAGAGGTACCCTTGCAAAACCAGAATGTGATGTGCAAGTTAGGCTCTTGGATGGTGCCATTGGTGGTATAGATCTCGGCAGAGCTGAAATTGTTGCATCTCTAACTTCAACCAGTCGTTTTCTGTTTAATGCAAAATTTGAACCAATCGTTCAGAATGGTCATGTACATATCCAAGGAAGTATTCCTCTTACTTTTGTCCAAAATAGCATGTTAGACGAAGATGTAGAAAAAGATATAAGTCAAGTCAATTGGGAGCGTGGTTGGGTAAAAGAAAGAGATAGGGGTTCCAGTGATGATGCCAATGAAAAGAAACTTCCCAGAGAGAGAAATGAAGAGGGTTGGGATACCCAACTAGCTGAAAGCCTTAAAGGCTTAAACTGGAATATACTAGATGTAGGTGAAGTTAGAGTGGATGCTGATATTAAAGATGGAGGCATGATGTTGTTAACTGCTTTATCTCCTCATGCCAACTGGCTTCATGGAAATGCTGATATTATGATACAGGTAGGTCAAAAAGGTTATTTATGGGCCAAGTTTATGTTCTAAGCATTTGTGAAAAATAAATGTTTCATGTTACAATAAGAAGCAATTAGATAAGAATTCACTTTCTTTGACTTGTGAGGTGTTTCAAATATATAGGTAAGAGGGACAGTTGAACAACCAGTGCTCGATGGGTTTGCGTCATTCTACAGGGCATCTATCTCTTCACCAGTACTCTGGAAGCCACTAACAAACTTTGGTGGCACAGTCCATATTAAGTCAAATAGGTTATGTATCAGTTCATTGGAAAGTAGGGTTAGCAGAAGGGGTAAGCTGTTTATAAAAGGGAACCTGCCTCTAAGGACGAGTGAAGCAGCCCTTGGTGATAAGATAGACTTAAAATGTGAAGTTCTTGAGGTCCGCGCGAAGAATATTCTAAGGTTCCTACTACCTCTTGGCCATTGTTTTGTCATAGAATTTATTTTCTTAAATGCACAACAAACTCGTGATTTACTTTTTGTTAGTTCCTGTGTTATGAACACCTTATATATAAGTATGCGTGTGTATGTATTCACACTGTAATGCATTTTGTTTATAGAGTTTACTGTATGTGACTCATTTGTAGCTGGTTTAACTGCTTAAACTTTCGTATGCTCGTCAGAAAAGGCTAATGGGATTCTAAAATCACAGTGCCCAGGTTGACTCCCAGATGCAGATAACAGGTTCTATATTGCAACCAAATATTTCTGGAAATATCAAACTGAGCCATGGAGAAGCTTATCTACCTCATGATAAGGGCAGTGGAGCTGCTCCTAATAGATTGGTATCAAACCAGTCTAGGCTTCCCAGTGGCAGTGTTAACAGGGCAGTTGCTTCAAGATATGTTTCACGGTTTTTCAGTTCACAACCTGCTGCTTCAAGGACCACCCGGTTCCCTCAACCCTCAGGTAAGAAGGCATCGATGCTTTGTCAGTTTGTGTTCGATAATGTTTTGTTGTTGCTAAATACTGTGCAAGTCCTGTCGTTTCACCTATTTAATTGTTCACATTGGCAGTTGAATCATCTGAAGTTGAAAAGGAAAGGGAGCAAGTGGATTTCAAACCAAATGTGGACATTCGGCTTAGTGACTTGAAGCTTTTTCTAGGCCCTGAATTGAGGATAGTTTATCCTTTGATTCTTAATTTTGGTGTTAGTGGAGAACTCGAGTTGGATGGTCTAGCTGATCCAAAATGGATTCAACCCAAAGGCATCCTGACTTTTGAGAATGGTGATGTAAATCTTGTTGCCACTCAGGTGAGTCCTGTTAACTTCTCTTGGATTCATTTTTTATTTTCTTGTTTAGAGTCGAAGGTTTCCAGTCCAGAGCTAGTTCATTTTTTTTTTTTTTGGCTGGCTTTTGTTTTATGCTGAGCTAAAATTTATGCGACGAATTCAGATGAGACTTAAGCAAGAGCATCTGAATATTGCAAAATTTGAGCCCGAGAATGGACTAGATCCGATGCTAGATTTAGTTTTGGTAGGATCTGAGTGGCAATTCAGGATTCAAAGTCGGGCCAGCAAGTGGCAGGACAAACTGGTGGTGACTTCTACACGGCCTGTTGAGCAGGATGCCATTTCACCCCTGGAGGTAACATTTTCCAATCAAATTTCAAGCTCCATCTTTCAGGAAATGATCAATCCAACTGGAATCAAGAGGCAACTTCTGCCTCCATTATATTTCTTCTCTACCTATTCTCTTCATCTTCTTTTCCTTTTATATTGATGCATAGCCCAAAACCAGAAGGCTATCCTATCCATTAAGAGAAACCCAACTCAGCAGAAATAAAAGAATTTTCTTTAAAAAAAAAAAAGAAAAAAAAAAAAAGAGAGCTCAAAACAGAGGCTTAAGCCTCGAATGCCTCAGACCCAAGCATCAAAGACGTAAAGCCTCTTTTGAGCCTTAAGCCTTCGACTAGAATTTGACACCTCAACAGACTTCAAAAACAATGGGAGGTACAATGAGGACCTCCAGTAGTTGATGCGCATACTTCTGTTTTTTTAGCATGCTTTGAAGCTTTACTTTATCTTATAGGAACTACTAAAAATTTGCTGTTGCAAGGATGAATATTTGCTCCTATTTTACTTTACGTGTGCTGTAAACGTAAAGTAAAATGAAATAAAATAAATCTTCCTTTTTTTCCCTGTTTGCATAGGCTACTAGAGTTTTTGAGAGCCAATTGGCAGAGTCCATTTTGGAAGGCAATGGCCAGCTTGCATTCCAAAAGCTTGCAACTACAACACTTGAAAAACTCATGCCAAGAATTGAAGGAAAGGGGGAATTTGGTCAAGCCAGATGGAGGCTAGTTTATGCACCACAGATTCCGAGTTTGCTTTCGAATGGTGGTGTAGTTGATCCTCTTAAATCTATTGCCAGTAGTATCTCATTTGGTACAGAAGTTGAAGTGCAGCTTGGAAAACGTCTTCAGGTTATCTTACTAGAAAACCTTTATCTTTGCTCTCAAGTGATTTTTACACGTCTTTAATGGAGTTTTATATGGACAGCTGTATTAAACTTGGTTCTGAAATTGTTTTCTAAATCATGAATATCACTCGTTTTATGTTTCCTTTTGTTTTTCGTAGGCCTCCATTGTTAGGCAGATGAAGGACTCGGAAATGGCGATGCAATGGACCTTGATCTATCAGCTTACGAGCCGCTTGCGTGTGCTGCTACAATCTGCCCCATCAAAACGGCTCCTTTTTGAATATTCTGCTTCATCACAGGATTGATCTATTGGGCACTTTGCTCGGTCTTTTTGTCGGTGATCCACAGTAGCGCTCATGGCGATGTAAATTCAATTCTCATTCCAGAATTAGTTTTTAGTTTTGATGAGAAATAGGAACAGGTTATTCCCATTCCCCAATAAAAAGAAATTAAAAATTTCGTAATAACAATATTAATATTGTAGTTGTATCACCTTATTCTTTGCTCAGTATTGAATGAGCTTGTTTGTATGTCCAGCATATTTGAAAATGTACATAGTCCAATATTAATGAAAGAGAAGTCGGGTTTCGTTAGAATTTGAACAGCGAGACTTGGATGTCAAGAGTGTATCTTTTGCTTTAACCGGTGTAGTGTTGGAACTTTCGGTTGGCGGGCATGCTCGAAACCTGAATTTTTAGGGTTTGGCGGGCAGGCACCTAAGGCCGCCCGTTCAAGCTATTTCTCAGGCTCGGGCTTGGGCCGCCCAAAAAGAATGAATATCGTCGAAGCCCGCCGCCAATCGAAAGCTCCCGACCATTGACCGCTGAAATTTTTTTACTTTTTTTCTTTAGGCCCGAATTGCCTGAAGCTCGATCAAACGGCTAGTTTGTTGACCGTTGGCGCCCGACCTGAACCGCCGCCGAAAGGCCAACCACCAATGGTTTTTTTTTTACCGTTGCTCGATTTCGGCCCGAACCCTACCCGCCAAATCAAGAAATAGCTATTGGATCCGAATTTGGGGGAAAAAAATAAATTTTTTAACCCAAAAATTTCTCCATAAATACCCCACCATCCCCCAAACATTTTCCTCATCTAAACTCTCTCAATCTCTTTTAATTTCTCTCAATCTCTCTCAATCTCTCACAATTTTTTCAAAAACTTACACAATATCCTAAGCTCTCTCTCTCTTAATCTCTCTTAATCTTAATTATAGTTTTTATATAATTTTTACAATAAATAACTTAATAATTATTTATATACAAATATAATTAATAAATAATATTATATATAATTTTATAAAATATTTAAAAAATTCGCGACCTTCGAGCAGCTAAGACCTGCCCGAAGCCTGTTCAAGGTGCTTTTTGGGTTCGGACGGGTAGCCTAAATTTCTCGGGCGGGCAGACTCAGGCAATGGGCACAAATTCAGTTTTTTCGGACAGTTGCGGACGTCCCGTCCAAAGTTCCAACACTAAACCAGTGTACAATTTTTGTATTTTCAGCCAAAAAATGTTACTTTTTTTTAGGAGAAAAAATGTTGTTATTTAGCACTGTGGAAGCAAAAGTTAATTTCTTTCGTGACATTAATTAAAAAGAAAAGTTAATTTCTTTCGTCGCTTTTTATGTCAGAACAATTTAGTCAGCTAAAAATCTACCTTTAGCATAATAGTTTGACCGATTGCAAAATTAATAAACCACCACATTCCCGTCCATGGTTCATCTCTCTCCTGCGAAAATTGTTTAACACTTTGTTAATCATCAATTTAACGCTTTGTTTGGTAGGAGGGATTGATGGATGGATGGATGGAGGGGGTAGAGGGAGAGGGATGGAAGGAGAGGCCAAATCAGTTGTTTGGTTGGAAGGAGATGGGAAGGGAGAGATGTGGGGGATGAGCTATCCACCTGGGTCCATCATTTTGCATCTCCCTCTTATGGACGGATCAGGCAGCGAAAAAATAGAGGGAACTCTTCAGGTGGTAAAAAGTCTAATTTACTCTCCAATGTATTCTTTATTCTTTTCTTTTTCCCCCTTTCACCTAAACTGAAACCTAAAACGCTTTTTCTTTCACCTGCATTTTCCACCTCTTCCTCAAAGCAACAAATTAGGGGGAAAAAATCTTTGTTCTTGGAGAGCTCTGGGATATTCCATGTACTCTTTTTGTCACAGTTCTGAGCTCACTTTCTTATGTTTATATGCATATTTTTTTATTCGATTTTACTATCAAAATTTTAGAGTATGAACTTAGATTCATTTTCCATTTGTATCATCTCTAGATTTCATATACATATATATAAACTCCACCGCTTGTCGTTTTGGTTGGAGAGAGTTAGAGAGTTAGAGAGTTAAAAAAGGTAAAGAGGATTATAATAAGTGGGATAAAAAGAGAGTTGAAAGCATATATAATTATTATTTGTTAAATTACTGACTATTTAAACTTTGTTAATAATTTATTTACAGGGTTAAACAATCTTTTCATTATTAAACTTAATGAATTGTTTGAATCTTTCCCTAAATTGAAGGATCTAATTTGGAAAGCACATCCCTCCTCTTCCTCCTCCTCCTCCGACCAAATAAGTTAGCCCTCTCCATGTAGCTTTCTCCCTCCATCCCTCGATGTCTACCTCCAAGGCTCCAACTAAAGAGTGCGTTTGGTTCAAGAATTCATGTCATAATTCGAATTATAATTTGTGACTTGTTACAGTATTTTTTCTCACAAAAAACACACATAAATCAAAAATTATTCTGAATCATAATTCTAAATCCATCAATCAAACGTTAATGAACTCAAATTTCTGGGCAAATGCTTTTCTTTCATTTATGGGTTCTTCAACTGAAACCAAGTACCGAAAAATCACAAGATGCTCATTAATGTAGCTATTTTTTTTAATAATTAAAGTACCCTTTCTTTTTCTTCCTCTAAATTAATTGTTAGGATAGAGAAATAACTTTTTAAAAAGCCAACATTTGAAATGATCATAACCAAACTTAAGATTTGAAATTCTGAAGCGCCAAAATAAATACATTAGTTATCAATATTTTGTTATTGTTTTTATTTACATAACGTTTGCTTTTTTATTTATTTAATAAACTCTTGTTTTTTTTTTTTACCCTTACAATTCTTCTTTCAAAACTTTAAAAGTAAAAGGATTATTCACAACATAATTTAAAAAGGTGTATATTTGTAATGACTGAGAAAATTCCAGACCTTAAATAATACAATTCATGTATTTTTAAGCCAAGGATTTTCTTAGAAAATATTATGTTATATTGTGAATGGAGGATTTATGGAATTAATATATGTATTCCTAAATTCTATAGCAAATTTCATGTTAAGTTCATGTTTCGATCAAGTAAATTCGATCGATAAATTCTCGCCGTATTTTAAGGCGGAATAATTTTCAGTACAAGTATAGTTTGAGAATCTTAATTTCAAGAATCTCTAAGCACGGCACGATGTTAGCGGCGTATAAAAAAAAACGCACTGGCATTTTAAAAGAAGAAAAAAATCCTTAATTGCTAGACAGTTAGGTTAAAGTCGCAAGATAAATACCTATAGTAGATGGGTACAATATGAGCTCGGGAGTTGACACTGTCAGAAACGTCATTCTCGGGATAGAATACAGAAAATTAAAATTTAGAATTTGTTCAGTCTAAAATTAATTTTAAGACTTGAAACAATTTGAAATATTACGCGAGTAAGAATATAAAACAATATTGAATTATTCAGAAATTAATATTGGACTGTAAGTAGTAGATTAACTTACGTGAGCTAAACTAATTACCTCTAATCAGTATAAATTTAATCTGTTTAGAAGAAATAATTGAGGATAAGATCAGGCACGTAATCTTACCTTAATCAGATACTTTATATAGTGAAATTTTTAGGGTTCTTACACTTTCTTTCTCTTATTCTCGCTCATTCTCTCTCTCCTCTCACATTCTCTCTCACACAAACCATCAATGGCCAAATACTCAAGTTAAGATTCCGACCTCCATTTTTGACACCGCCGGTGTCAATAGAAAGATCTCGACGAGCTGAGTTCAACGACATGCGGCACGACCTCCAACTCCGCCGGAATCAGCCGCAATCGCCGGCGGAAGTT